TGGTAAACCAATCAGTACATTGAAATTTCGGCCGATACACTGGATTTTGACTGAAATGACCAGATTTTGACTGAAATGACTAGATTTTGACTGAAACGATCGGATTTTGACTGAAACAAAATTGATATTATACCATTTCGGTCCACTTTTAAAACCGGTATATACGACTATACCGGTCGATATGGTACGGTTTTGATTTCTTTGATTAAAATAATAAACAGTAAGGACCAAATTAAAGATTTTTTAAATTGAGAAACCAAAATGAAGGTTTAACCTTGTTTATTTTAGTTGCTTATGAACAGTGATTTTTTTTTTCCTGTATGGACTAACATGTTGGTTCTTGTAAAAATTCTGCACAACTTTTGTAATCAAAGGGTTCCATGCCATTCGGTGAAAATATATTCCTAGTAGTGTCGAGTGCACGACTCAAAGGAACAAGAGAGGGCGCATATATCCTATGGAATTGTGGCTTCAATTTTAAAGTCGGAGATTTTTTTATTTTCTCACATTCGCTTGCCAGAGTGATTGGGGTAAATTCCCAACATAGTTTCTTCCTCATTGCTTCTTAGTTCATGCCATATCTAATGGCCATTGTTTCACAAGTCATGCACCATAAAATTACATCACAAAGATAAGGTCACCAATATTAATGTTACTTCTCAATCTATAAACTGTCATTCTAAGAATCGAAAGAACAAACAATACGAAAACTCACTATCCATCAAAATTGATCATGAAGTGGACTACAAACATGGTACGTTCACCTTCCAACCCACCGCCCTTGAGCTCCTGAAGCATCACCATGAGGTCTGCTGTTGTTCCCGGTTGAAGCTTGTTCATGGAAGTCAAGACCCATATCATTTATGGGTTCTTTACAAAAATGAATCCTCAATTCCTCATTGAACAAGATGTTTTTTGAACCATCTAGACATAAAAAGGCAAAATTGTGCAATGAAATGACATAATAAAGGCTAAAATATGCCAGTATACCACAAATCAGTTTTGACTAAAAGAATGTCCTGCTGTATGAAGAATTCCTAAACTGATCTTTGTCAATTCCCAATAATCCCAGCATGAAACATCAATGGTAGCTAAACTGTGATTTTTAGTGGGTGATGCCAGAGAAACGTTGCACTCCTTGCTCCACGTCATCTTTCCTATCAGTGAAACTGACAAAGCCAGAATGCAAATTGAATCAGGCACTGAAATTGCATGACATTATTCTTGCAGCATCCCTCCTATTGGTAGTGTCCTTTCCCAAACCCATTACTAAAAGAGACATGTCAAGTGAAGGCAATGAGAGAGTGCATGCCTGGCATCTTAATATTAAAAGTTATGTCACAGTGCAAGGTATTGGATATGCTTGCAAATTTGCTTCTGACTTCTCAAGCACTTAATGAACAAGCTCAAGCTTGATTTCGCTTATTTATTAACTGAACCTTACTTGAACTAGTGGATGCTCTACATACACACATTAATACTAAAAGTTAATTACCAACTAGTGAAAAAAGCTAGCAAACTAGCTACTTTATGATCATGCTTAGAGGAAGGCCCAAAAATGATCATCTTTATGAGAAAAAAACATAACATTTTTATTTTATGTTGCACTTAGCATATTTGCTTCGATTCAATATGTGCACTGTTTTTGTGTGTTTGTCTTAAATTCTTACTTTTCAAATGATTAAACAAAAACTTTTCTCTACCACTCATCAACTAAGCTCAAAACTAACCTCATATAAAATGCTTGAGGTTGACCTTCTATGCAAGCTTGAATTCTTCTAACTTGCACATGCACTGTCATGTACCAGCAAAATCCCCTTAAACCCTCCCTCCCTCTCTAGTATCCTAGATAATGGAACTAAGTTGAGACTAAAAGAAAGACCCTCATGAGTAAGAATAACCTAAAGTTTCTTGTTCATTATTGCTCACTTTCTTCCTCCCAAGCAATTCAAATTTATCAATGATATTCAAAAATACTCTGCAGGAAGTATAACAATCTGCTAACAACAAAAGTACAATTTGAACCATCTTGTTGCTAACTTGCCCTCACAATTCTTGCAAAAACCAAAAATTCAAAATCCAACACATAAAGGCAAACCCAAACAAGAGAAGAAAAACATCAGGAAAGGAAGAAAGAAGATCTTTTACCTTATTCCATGGTAACTTTAGCTCCCACCTCCTTCATCTTTGCTATGATCTTCTCGGCCTCATCCTTGGTGACCCCCTTCTTCAACAGCGTTGGCGCCTTCTCCACCAAATCCTTAGCCTCTTTCAGCCCCAAATCCGTAAACCCCCTCACTTCCTTTATAACCTTTATCTTCGCCGCCGCATCAAATCCTTCAAGCTTCACGTCGAACACCATCTTCTCCTCCTTCTTTTCCTCACCCTTCCCAGGCCCACCAGCCCCACCTTTCCCGGCACCTCTCGCAGCCCCGGAAAATCCCATCCCGGGCATCATCACAGCCATAATCGGCATCTCGTTGATGTCCAGCTTCTTCCGGAGCACTTCGGTTAGGTCCATGACCTCAAGCAGAGTCAGCCCGGTGATTTCATCGACGATTGCAGAGACTTTCTCGGACGGGGCTCGTTTGGGTTCTTGCGCACCGGTGGAGTATCCCCGGGTAAGACCAAGATCAAACTCATTCACCGATCGGAAAGACCGCAAAAGACGAGAACTTTGATGGTGGGTTCTGTTGATACGAGACAAGCGAGAGCAAATGAATCGCAAATGCCTCATTTTGAATAACCTTTTTGGAGGATTTGCGGTTAGCTCCGAGAAACCATTAACGCTACGAGAAGAGAAAACAGAGAAGACTGAAAGTCGGGGTTTAAGCAGAACCCCTATGGGCTTTGGTGGTGAGACCTGGACCAGAAGGTCTGGTCCAATATTCTGCTAACGATTGGTGGATTAGGGTGCCGTTTTTGGGCCTAATGAAGGCAAGCCGAGCTCAAAACGACATTGCCTCGCTTGATTTTGGGATGCCGTTTTGGGGTTCGAACGTTCATCTTCTTCCTTTCCGGGCAACAGGCGCGGCAAAGCTCGAGTTCGTACTTTGTTCTACTTTTTCTAAATTTCGGAAACATTCACCCATCATATGGACCATGAAGTCTCTACAGTTCTCTCCACTTTACTCTCTCTTTCATCTTTTCTTCTTCGTTTCTCATCTCATCTTGCTTTTTTTTGGCAGAAATTGGACGGTATTTCATAAGTTTTTTTTTTGCAAAAAAGATTGATTTTTTAATTCTGTTTTGATCATTTCCTGTTTCATTTGGGAGCAATTTGTTTGTTTTCCCTGCAGGGTATTGTGGGCTGTTTTGTTCTCAAATTTGGGTGACTGCTCTGGGTGCGTGCGTCGACCATAGCGATGGTGGGGGTAGGAAAAAGTGAACCAAGTGTATGGTAGGAGGCCATATACCCGACATCAAGCTAAGGCAAGGGCTAATGCTTTCGCTTCCACGCCGGTAAGCTCACTAACTCTCTCGCTTAGTGTCCTTGACATCGTGCTTAGCTTCAGGGCTTGAAAAGGGAGGCAACTTTTTTTTTTCTCAAGGACTTACTTTCATTTCGCTGGGCAGGAAGAACCTGGGATAGGGGAAAAATGAAAAGTTTCAACGAAATTAAGCCAAATGGGTTCTTCCTGCATGCTATTTTTTCATTTTTCCCTTTTTCGAAAGTGCTTGTTAAACTGTTTACACCTTTTGAAAGTTAGAAAAATGTTGAGAAGCTTTTCTGGGTGCATTTCATGAATTGAGACACTGAGCTGAACTACTAGGTTGATATATTGGCCTTGACTCTGTTGGAATTTTGACAGGGTGCACCTTCTTCCTCAAGCTATTTAAGTCTAAGCAACAGCACACTTCGTTTTAGATCAGGGAAATCTGCAAAGTTGTCTGAAGCAACAACAAAAGCATATGTTAGAAAGCTTGGAGAATCAATCAATGAATCAATTCCAACAACTGGAAACATTCACAGTCTTGAGCAGTCAGACCAGAATTCAAGTTCTCCTTCCACTGGAGTTGTTGGAATTGTTCGTGCTGCAATTGACAATCTGTTCACGTTGGTAAGATTGTTTGTCCATATGTTTGAGTAAAATCTTTGATTTAGCTCACAAGGTCATGTTTCTATGGTGGAACAAGATCTGTTCTCTTCTACCTCATGTGTTCTGTTCTATAATTTTCTATAGTCCATATCTCTATATTCTGTTTTATCAAACGTATTTGTTGTAGAGGTTATCTGTAGCTCCAAGTGTTCTTTACTCGGTATTTGTAAGGAAAGGTACTGTAGCTGCTGCCAACACCATTTCTTCTAACTCAAGCAAACAGGTACATGTAGGGGAAGCTTCTCGCACAGTTGATGGGAGTTGCAGCCAATCTTGCAATCTTGGCCTTACCGAAGTTGTTGGCACGTTTGCTGATGATGATTGTGAAGAGGTGAGATCTTCGGCTATAAATTCTGACTTGGTCTCAGTTGGAGGTTACAGAGTGAAGAAAGCAGCAGCCCCTATGCTTGAAAGAATTGTTGGGAAGCATGGAGATATAGCTGTTGACTGCACTTTCAAGCCAGTTGTAAGTCGGGCTTTGTTCTTAGAGAATATCTGTGACCTTATTGAAACATTGCAAGCAAAAGAATTCTATGATGTCAAGTGAGCTGATATTGAGGAAATGCTGGTTGTTGTGGAGGATCTTGGAAAACTTAAACTGCAAGTTGGCTGGCTTGAGAAGAGGTTGAAGGAAATTTTGAATTTAAAGGAGAGGTTGAAGGAATACATGAGATTGAAGGAGGGCAAGACTACGCAAGTTAAATTCATTCAGGAATCCAAAGAAGCACTGAAATTGTATGAGGATAAGATACTAGAACACAGTGCTAAGATACTGAAATACAGGGCTAAGGCACTAGATAAACAGCTGAAGCTGGAGGCTCCAGAGGCTGAGGTGAAAAATATTGAAGGAATATTCTCGAATTCAATGGCAGAAGTTCCAGTCTTTACTAAATCTCTTATTCAGGATCTGCTCTGATGTCTCAGTTTGTCTCCTATGCTTGCTTGTAAATGATAGGATATTCTAGAATGCAGACGATGCCACACTAGCGACTTTTCCTTCTGAAAAATCATATAATTTTGGATGCAATAATGCTATATTTAGGAACCACATGGAACGTGCAATGCAGATTCCTGGAGAGAACCGTCTTTGTGCATGTTGTGCCTCTAAATTATTAGATAGGATTATTAGAGTATTTTACTAATATTTGTTCCTGTAGAGAAGTTTGCTTTCTAGAGCTGAATCTGGACAGGAACTGTGTATATCTTTAGCTTTTAAGTCTAAAAAACATTGATTGTTTCTGAATCTCTGATTTAAGCAAGGTGGAAAATGTTTCTCTTTGTGTGCAGAAAAGTGAGAAATTTCATTACATCAGAAATTTGTGAGGGGACTTCATGAGTAAGCTTCGCGTATAGCTTATTTATTATTCAAAATTCAATAAACACACACTAAATGAACAGAATTCAACAACTCACACGTCCAGAACATCATAACAGCTGCTACAATTAACTGGATGAATTAAAATCTCTCTTTTAAAGAAGGAAAGAACTAGAAACCAGAAACATGGAATAATGTCCTGCAGGATCTACCATCTGTACCTCCTATTTTAAGCATTGACTTTCCTGCAGTTCTTTCTGATCTCGCCCTTAGAACCTGTCAGTGGAGAGATATTTCCCATCTTGACCATGGACTTGGCAAAGTGCTGGAAGAAAAGCTCCTGGTTCTCAGCATATGTTTTCACCAACTCCCTTGATTCTTCATTTTTGGTAAATAGAACTTCATCAGAATTCAGCAAGCCCTTATAAACCAAGAGGTTTTTGAAGTAGCTGTTATCGAACTTGGTTGGGCTAACAAAGTCCAAGAAGAACAGGTTCTGGTCACCACCGGATCTGGGGCATCTGGTACGCAGTTGAGCAGCATATGTTTTGTCCAAAGTGTTGTCAGGCTGTCCATTTCCAGACTGGTTGTAGAGCCTCTGCCTGAAGCTCGTGCATCTCGAATTTCCAATTGTGTGGCTTCCTGCATCATCAAGAATGTAAGAACATGCATGTTTCCTAGATACAGCTAAAAGTAGAATGTATTAAGTACTTCAGTAATCTTACCAGACAGGGCAACAAGATCAACGATATTTAGACCTTGAAGCTTGAACTTGGTGAGAATTGTCTGAAATGTGTTGTTTGGAGCAGGAATGTTGTTGTTGGAGCCACTCAAGCTTGCACCTCTCCTGTCTCTTCTTCCCAGAGGGACTTCCCAGCTAGGTCCCCCAGTCTGTAATCAAAATAAATGGTCAGCATTCGACATGCTTAGGACTATCAATCTCACATACATATTTCTCCTAAATATATACTCACCAGAACAGTAGAATCTCTAGCAGCCAAGGCCAAGAGATCAGCACAAGACACCGTCTCAGGGCACTCCTTCTCTAATGCAGCTTTGATCTCATCAAGGACTTCAAATCCTCGAGCAGAGTTCCTATTGGGGTTTGATCTCTTCTCAGAGATTATGGTCCTGCTGCTGTCTAACAGAACTGATGCATCACATCCCTACAATAAAAACATTGTTTAAATTAGCAAGTTACTCATGTAGCTCGTGAAAGAGGAGAGTTTCCTTGGCAAGTAAAAGACCTTGACAAAACAGTCATGGAAATGCAGCCTTAGCAATGAAGCAGCCATACGTGCTTCTTTTGCTACTGCTTTAGCCACAATGGATTTTACAATCTCTTGTGCTTTTGGGCAAGAATGGTCATAAAATTGTGGGTAGAGGCCTCCATGAGTCCCGGCGGAGAAACAAAGAGGAACAAGGGAAACAAGAGAAAGGACCAAAATAAGGCCCAAAGACTTGGCCATTGTTTTCTCTCTTATCTTTCACTTTTAAACCAATAAATTTTTCTGAAGTGTTTTTGATAAGAGAGCCTGGAGAGGCTACGTGGGTACTTATAGAGGAGCGTTTGAGTGAAAAGAGAGAGATTGGTACAAAAGGCTGGAGTTGGTAGCTAACTTGCTTTCCCACCATCAGAATGATAGAAAATTTGAACGTTGGAGTTGGTAGCAATTCTGCAAGCAAATGCTGACTAATTTCACAATATTTTAGGCAAATAACCTTTTTTAGCATATTACAATGAGGCCAACTTTTGAATTTTCCATCTAAATGTATCCCTCGACATAGAAAATGGGAAGTACATCCCATCCTTAACAAGGACATAAGGTTGGAATCATCTTTTGTCCTGCTTTTCCCATTCTCATCCATTGTTTTCTTTCTAAGTTATCTTGAAGCCAAAGTCTTGTTCCTGAGAAAAATGAAAAAGCCTTCTCTTGCTTGTAGTTTCTGGAACGTGCCTTACCCGGTATTCGATTGACTATTTAAATCTCTTAAAAGTGTGATTTAAGTAACCTGACATGAGTGGATTATGGATTCTGGATGTGTTTGCTTTGTAAATTAATCACAGTTGATAGAACTTGACCAGGTTTAACACAATTTGACCTGTGAACTCACAGGAACAGAGGGGTTTGACCCTGTTCAAACCTTGTATAATTTTTAAAGGTTAAGTCCCGACACGAGGACAGCTTTGAGGAGGAGGGAGCAGGAGCAGACTTACCTGCCCTGTTGACAAAAACTGAATCATCAGATAAGCAATTACATAAGCGAGGAGTTTTTAACATATATCTCTTTGGGCTGCCTTAACCCATCCTTCTAGATGCTCACAAGTCGTCTTTGGAACATTGAAAATTTATGACATTGGATACAGCTTTAGCCATCATGTTCTCTGATTGAGAAATGCATGGCCTGGCGTGAGGAGGGTGTTTCATACATTTTGTTTGACTTCCATTTTCTTTAAATTAATGTGAAACAGTTGAACAGTGATGTTCTGTCGGTTGCCTCGTGTTGGGGTGTGTGGAAAACTAATTTGAAACAGGGCATGGGAATATTAGGTCGATCTTATGAATTATTTGATAGTTGTTGTTGATCCAATAAGATTGTAATATAGGGTGTAGGCGGCTATTCCTGTCTTTCGAACCAAGCATTCTTTATTGTCTTTGATATAGATACAATATCCTCAGTCTATTCTTTCTTTTCTTCTTTTTCTTTTTGAACTTTCATTGGCAACTTTTGCTTAGAGTCAGCATTCTTTCCAATAAAAAATGGTGATGGAAATCATGGTTTTTTTTTTTTAAAGAATAATTGAAGCTTTTGTACTGTGTAAAGAAAGGTAATTTGGTACGTTAAATATTGAAAAAGGGATAAGGATGGATTATCCAACTGGATTGTCATATCTTACTCTAAATGTTGGAATCAAATTTGCTTTTGGTTTACTCTGTACTTTGGAGTTTTTCTCAGTATGTGTCTAAAACACCATTATTGCAATTGCCATGCGCAAAATGCTAGAAGTGAAGCATCACCAACATGGATTAGGCCCACCAAAAAGAGGCCCAAAACCCCTTCATGCTTATAGTGTTTTCATAGTGAGCGTAAACGAGACTCAATTAAAAGCTAATCAGATACATAAATGGCTAAAATCTCAAACTAAATCATGCTGCAAACTTCAATGAGATAAAATGGCAATAAATGTCAAGAGTTCATGGCGAATTCTGTATTTTAGATCACAAACAATTCCAATGATATTGTTTACATAAAAAGGGAATTCAATTGATTGTATAACTTCATAGTTGCTTCTATTTTGATACAAGTGAATGTATAGAAGAAAATTTTGATGAGATGTTAAGAGGGTATAGAAAATTTACATGGAACCATATTTTCTTTCACTTGGTCTCCATGTTCCTTGGGCAGGAACAGGTTGGTGCTCCCAAGAGGCCTCCCTCGCAAACGCAGCATTGAGATCTTCATGGCGTGAGTAGCTTTGCCCTGCTCCACTCACCTGTCATATTACATCTCCAGACTCAATTAACATAGAGAAAACTTGCAACTCTATGTTCTGTTTTCACCTAATTATTAATTATTAACTTCCACCTAAAGACAACCATAGATGGTATTGACTGAGCTGAATTTACCTACTTTGCAGAGCTAGAATGCTACTTAGAATCAATTATGAATCTTGGGATAATGTTTTTCTGACCAGTAGGTACGAGAAAAAAGATATGAAACACAGTGTAAATTGGCTATCAGTTAGTAGAAATGTTTAATCAGCCATTGCTTTCCCATTAACAACTTCTACTGTAGTAATATGAGACATTGGCTAAAGTAGCAGTCCAAACACCAGTGACCTCCAAAGTGCTACAATTACCAACTTGACCTAGGAACCAAAAAGTGCAAGGTTCGAGTGAAAGATTACTTTGGCTTGGAAGTGCCATAAACTTACAGTTTCTAAACAGGCAGAGAGAATTGCCATGCCGGGCAATGCATCAATCCCATGCTGCATTCAATCAAAACATATATAAGTTATTTTTTTTGGCCTTCAAAATACAAATTAGTGGATGCATATGCTTTCGTGCCCAAAAAGAGGACAAAAGCACACATGATAAACCTCAGAAGATTTGGCCCACAAGTCTTGTTAGGTATTCCTAAAAGAATAAGAAAATCCACTGAATAGTGCAAAAGAAAGTCATGGCCAAAAGAAAAAGTGCAAAAGAAATCATGGCCAAAAAAAAAAAAAAGTGCAAAAGAAACTCATGGCCAAAAAAAAGTGCAAAAGAAAATCAACTATTAATTTGAACTTGCTCAAAACAAGTGTTTAAACAAGACTCAACAATTTGGATATATGTAGTATTATCCTAGTTACAAGAAGGAACTAGTTCATTGATATATACCCATTTGAATTGGAATGCTTTCATATTTGTAGGTATTACAGAGTAATCCACAAGAAATTTTAGTGTAATTAATATATTTTTATTTCTTTATATACTATTGCAACAAACAATGTAGCATTGAATAAACATAAATTAAATTGATGTTTACACAAAACTCTTTCTTTTTATTCACTTTCAAAGAGTTATTAGCTTCAATACTTGATTTTAGCAGAAAATATGAGCAAAACCAACTAAATGGCCTACCTGACGTTCCACTCGTGTCTTGTAGACAAATCCTCCACAGCAGAATAGGATTGATGAGACCATGAATCTGTTTAAGAGCATTTTATTAGAACCACTGAGCATAAAACAAATGGAATTGTGATGGTTCTTTTAGTGAAGCTTTTTATACAAGAAAAGTTTAGAGCAAGTAGAAAGATTCTTCATTAGGGTTCAGTTTTTTGTGTCTATGCAGGAAAACAGAACAAGGTTGGAACAAGTCACTGATGTCTCAGAAAAATATGAGCTATAGGAAAGACAATGCTGTGACAATAATATGGCATGTCCAGGCTGTAGCAGGGCCATTGACTTGATAAATTTATATTTCTAAGGTGTAGAAATGTATCTATTCACTAACACTTAAGCAATAAAATGTTGAAAACACAGCAAATGACACTGATCTCTACAATGCATAGTTGAATGGATATCCCCAAAGCTTTTAGGAAAGAAAGGATTATCATACATGAAAGATATTACTCCAAATACAGCCCAGCCTCTAGTAGCATCTCCCCCTTGATCCTGTGTGTATTCTGCAGAATTTGAATGAACCAATCAAGAATGTCAATGAAATTAGAATTAGAAGCCTGGACATATTAACATCAGCCTTAAATTGTTGGCCATAGGGAAGAGAGGATAAGTTCTGGGTCAAGACACCAAATGAATAGAATTGTATCCTTGCAGCATCTTTTATCCTAGCTCATTTTATAGAAAAGTGACACTGCTAAATAAGTTCAAATGGCATTGTCCATAGACTCATGCTCACATGCCAGGACTAGTTATTTTGCAAAGACAGTCAAAATAAGCAGAGACCTGATTTTCAAGGATAAATCCAACAACTGACAAAATGCTTAAAAAGGATAAAATAATGAGCTAGGGAGCCCTTACCACACATTTTTGTAAGGAAAAACTCAATTGGCTCATAACCCTCAACTGGAATAGTGATGTTAACCACGTATGGGGCATCACGGACCTTAACACCTACCAAAAATAGTAACTGTAAGTCCAGGAAATTTTAAGTCAAAATATATCTTCACCAGCAAAGAAAAATCTATACATCTCCAGTCTATTAGCAACATTGACGGTGACAAAGTTGTAGGAGATTTTCCAGCTGCCCCTGATCCCGATAACTTAACCTCCAGGCCACTGTCAGGAAAAACCTGGGGAGGCAATCAATCAGAACCAAGTCAAACAGTAAGCAAATTTATTCAATAATTGCAGTTTTGTACCCCATGAACAAATGGGAAAGATCACCTGGACAATAGGCTTTTGTACCAGAGTGGAACGAGAAGCAATAGCAGTCATATAAAGAGCTACATGAAACTGTTCAGTCCTGAAGCTGAAAAAAGTTGCATCTACAAAGTTATTCACTACAACCTTTAAAGGTTAAAGGTTTGAAGTTACAGGTAAACAAATTAAGTAATTGAATTAGAGTCATCTACTACTAAAGATGAAAGGATTAGAAATGAAAAGGGAAAAATAGACATTGATGTTAGACCTCATTACAGAGATCCTTTACCTGAACTCATGGTGAGCCCTTTCAAAACCCAACTGAGTCATGCCATTATAGACCTACAGGTTGTTATGATGCAAGATTTTTCAACCAACATTGTCTGACTAGTAGAAACTGACTTAAAGCAGTAAAAATGGCAAGAATTCTTAGCCCTTACAATCTCCCATGATCTTGGATGAAAACCAACAGTGAAGCCCTCAAATACACGTTGACCTGGTTCCTTACAAGGAATGGCAAGTTCGACAACAGCTCTGAATCAAATAACAATAGCAAAGTTTCAGATAAGCTGTAGAATTGAATTTAAACTTTAAACTAATTATTTAAATAAGTTAGATGAACACTTAGGATATAAAATACACAAATTTGTCATTTGGCACTTGCATTCAATGTTTCTTTCCCCCGTGCTCTGTTCCCTACCATCTGATTTCCATTTGTTTTCCCTTTAATCATAAAATTTATTGATAGTTTACATTCATGTAGATATAATTCAGTATCCTGATTTCTGGCATTAAGCATTCTAAATTTGCAGCTCAAATGCACCAAATGAATTCTTCATAAACATGTAAGGTAACCTCTCAAACCACTTAAAATTCCTTTCCAACAAAATTCCCAGTGTACCAAGTACAATTTGGTAGAAAATGCTGTGAGGATCCAGATGGCCTTATAAGATAATCAGCTTGACGATCTTAGCATGAATTCATGATAATAACAAAGTGTGTATATAATATATATTTAACATTTGTTCTGTGAAATATGTCTAAAAGGCTTCAAAATTCTATTATTCAATATGCATTACTCTTATTCACAGATCTTACAAGTAAAATCCCTCAAAAGTATTGGTGGTTTTATTTAGGTTATAGTACACACGTGAGTGCACTCAGACAAACATGTATTTCTGACCTACAATTTAATTCATTCAGTTAGTTATGGCTTGGGAAAAAAATATTGGTGAATGTAAGCCTCTCCCACCAACAAGGATTACATAACAAGGCCTCAGATACACCCTGCATATAATTCTTCAGTGAAGTTACACATTTTATGCATATGGCTTTGATATATTTCAGTATGGGAGGGCTTCTATTGTCTAAACCTATGAATTACCAACACAAAAGGTTTATAGAAGCAACTCTACATTGCAAAAGAAAAGGAAAATGGATGTTTTAAAAAATATATTTAAGGAAAAAAAAAAAACTCAAAAGTACTGTTTGCAAACCTGCAAGTGGATTCGTAAGTGACATTGCATATGCATCCAACTCCACCTGAAATAAGACAACAAGGAAAATGACTGGATCTTAAATTCCTAAGAGAAAATCACTAAGGATGAGAAGCTAGAGGCTCTTTGGTAGTTAAGAATAACAAGAAAAAACAGATGGAAACAAATCCACTACAATTAATGATACTTTTTCTTTTTTATGAGGGAACAGAATTGCTAATAATTAAGACTAAAATCCAATCCATCAGAGATTCATTCACGAAGAAATTGGAAGGAAGCATGAAGTGAAAGAAAGTCCAATAGACATGGCTTCAGAAATTGCTGGTATCAATTCCGAGCATAAAAAGGAACAAACTCTTTTAAGGCCTAACATAAAACACAAACCTTTACATTCACCATTTAAACAACTTCCACATATAATATTTACCTGAAATACACACAAAAGAGATTTATCAATGCATATGTGAAAACAATGTGAAGAAGCTGAATGCTCAAATTCATGAAACGAACATTGTAATAATAACTGAAAACTTCTGATGGTGGAGATAGTACACAATTCCCACAAATTTCAATGTAAAAAACAGTAGTGGAAACCGACCTGAGCAGTACGTCCCATTTTGTCAGGACTGTCCTCACAATTCATCAGGTCTCCATGGTAAAACCCCTAACATACAAAGAGAATGACATTTAACAGTTCTTCCAAATCTGAGAGTCCTTGGTACTCTAAACTTGCAAAGCCATTAAGCTCACAGAATGTAGCTTTGGTAATAAAAAACAAGAAGCTTACTTGAACAAAGTTCACACTTCCCGAGCCAGAAACAAAGTGGTTGAACTTGTCAAATCGGCCAAACCCAACATACCCCTGCATAAATAGTTGCTCCCATCAAATGAATTCATCACTAAATTACAAGAAGCATGGTGTTGTAGACCATTACTGTTTGTGATCTGCTCTCCACATCTTTGCAAAACCGGACCACCACATCAGAATACTGCATAAAAAAAGAAACTGACTTTCACAATGTGGAATTCCAGACTTTTATTATCACACCATCTGAAGAAAAAAAAAAAAAAAAACATTACCTTCCCCTCGTACTCGAAAGGAATTCCTATCCAACTACTCTGATCACAACCTTAAGGAAAAAACAATAAATACCGAAACCAAATCTATCTAACCACAAGAAAGAAAGAAAGAAAAACATGTTGCAGGTGGAGGATACAAAATCAACAAGGCGACTAGAATTATCAAGGGCATAGCAATTGGATTCCGGGATCGGAATTGAGGCAACGCCAAACGGTTGCCAAAGAACGGCTGCAAGGAGAGATAAATTCATCAATGTTACGTTATACCAAAAAAAAGGAAGGATTTTGCAAACAGGGGAAACGTAACGAAGTGCAAACATTACCCGCCACAACAATGAACAAGCTTTGCGCATTTAGACGACGTTGCAAAAGCTTCATGGGCTTCAAACACTCGAAAGCTAATAGCTTTACCGGAGGAAGAGACGGGGCGGCTGCCGGTAGGCAAAATGTTGATGCTGGGATTAACTCTCCAACCCCAAAATTTTATTGTCTGAACTACCCTTGCGAGAAAATCGTTACCGCGTCGGGTCGGACCGCATCGGGCCCCTTGCTTACTCCAATCAGACAGGACGACATGTAGCATACCGTTGTCTAGTTGCCGCTAAATTCAACGAAACTCCGTAAGTTCATTACGGTACGATGACTGAATTATTTTCCTTT